AGAGGGGGCTTCTTGGCTGTTAGTATATAGATGATATGATAACCATTTCTGTCTCCAGCAACCTTTGCCTCCCTTGGCACATCCTAGCTCACATGCTCTTTCTGCTCTGTATTACTATAGACAGACAAGACTGGCTGTTCCTTGTTCACCATTAATGCAACTGACATTAATATGACTCAAGCAGGTTATGGGAGCTCAGTTGAACTTTTTGTGGAATTTGTCGAAGAAGAAACAGGTACAAGGGAAACAAAAAGAAATGGGGAAATACAGATTCTATTTTCTTTAGGAGTTTGGGTAACTTTAGCTTTATGTTGATAGTTTAGTTTCATTCTCTCTCTGATACCTTTTTAAATTCATTTATTTATTAAATTCAACTTGTTAGGCTGCCCTTTCCTGCAAGCAGGGCTCAGGGCGGCTTACGTCAATTGTGTAATTGTGTAAATAATAAAAATGCACCAGACATTTTTAAATTTGAGGTAACTGAGGGTTGCTTCTTCATGGAGGCATTCTAGTCTTCAGGTTCACTTGAGAAGTATATCTGAGCCCAGGCAGCCAATACCTGTCCATGTTCCATGGGTTCCCTTGCATTCTTCACAACAAACATGGGGTACTGTGGTGCATTTGCAAGGGAAACGGCACTTCTAAAATGCATAACTCATCACACACAGTGGTATCCTATGCAGCTATAAGGAATGCTCCCACACTTTCTCTTTGGAAATAAAACAGTGTACTAGAAGTGTCCAAAGCCTTCCCACAGATCTGCACATTAGGCACGTCCATCCAGTTCTGCCTGGGCCCAGTTGAGTACTTCAGTATTTCTACTGCCACATTTTTCATATGCTCTTTGTATATCAAAATGGTGCAGGAAAAGTAAAGAATTCCAATTTCTGGGAGCTTCAGCTTTTATTTTTAATTAAGAAAGTTCCTGTCATGGCCCTAAGGACTAATCTGCTATGCTGGTTGTTGAAGCTCTATGCCTGACCCTTGGGAATCTTATTGAGCAGGCCCAGAGATTTCAGCCCAGCTGGAAACTCTAATTTCATCTTCTTGGCTTCTGTACAGTCCTACATTGGTAAATATGGACAAACATGACCCAATCAGAAAATAGGTATAAAGACAACAGTCGTGAGAGTCTGACCCACAAATCAAGCAGTCACCAAGACTTGCAAAGAAAAAGCTTCCTATGTATTATAATCTAAAGCATTACAACAACATTAATAAATCATAAGAAAATCCTTGTGCATAGGTACATAATCAACGTTGTCTCCGGATTATATAACAACGTTTCAAAATTGGATCTTCCTCAGGAGATATTCTGTAGTGTACAAAAATACAATTCTTTAGAATATATACTATGTAAACAATAGAAAACAGTATAAAATCCTGGTACAGTCTTACTTACAGAGTAGTACAAAAGCTCTCTGTATTCATGAAGTGCTTGACAACAAGTCATAAGGAATCTGTAATACAAGAGGCAGGACCCGCGATACTCGCGCGGGGGGGGAGCTCCACAGTAATCAGACAGAGGAGAGGGCAGCAGGAGGAGGGAAGCTCCCCCGCATCCTGCCGGTTCCCCCCTGTCTCCTCCACACACCCCCGCGCTCGATTTCCCCCCCCCGGCTCCGAATGGTCCTTGCTCCCAAGTAAAGCGGGCACAGCACTGCAGGCTAAGGTAGAAATTCTACGAGCATGATAGTGAGAGGCCGGTGGGGGGGGGATGGGGGACAGAGCCGCGCTACAGCGGGGGCCAGAGGGGTGCAGGAGGACTGCGTGATCCCGCGTTCAGAGCGAGCGAGCATGTGTAGGAAGGGAGCGGAGGGGATCCGGGTGCTGCCGGTGTGTGCCTGGTGAGTGAGGAGGGACTGTGGCAGAGGCCAACGCCTGCTTGGTGGGTCGGAG